ACGCTCGCTTGCACAGAAATATTCTTAGTGATATTTGAAGATAGACTTCCGTATACGGCGTCATTCAACTTACTATGCTAGTGTCACTTTGCGCTGAGTTTAAGTCTGAACGTGGGACAGGTACTCTGATCTAATTAGAAATTCACAGAGAATAGCAGATCTTGGAGCTTTCTGGGACCTCCAAACTTGTCATTCTAATGGACAACCTTACCCCGACGTCCATTTCACTTGAAGAACAGATCTGAATCTTCAAGGCACCCGCTGCTAAGCTGGGTGGTATTCAACAAACCCAGTCATTATGCTGCAGAAGCCATCTGCGAGTCCGTGGATAAATGAGGGGAGCGCATCGAGATTGACCTCAACCAAGTGCGGGTTTATCGTCCGGTCTCCGAGGAAAGGCGTTTAGCGTCCACGGAACACCAATTGCACATAGTGGTCTCGAGAGAGCCGTCGATACCAATACCGCAGAGCCCACGACTGGATAACTCAGCATATAGCTGCCACTATCGACAGTGATAACATCGTTGAGCGATCTGGACCCTAATGCACGATATATCGAAAAGGACGTTGAGGATTCACGCAAAATGTCAACAGATACGAAATACCACAGATCCCATCATCATTTAGGAAACTACAAAGAGACTTCTCGCACCATACAGGAATGCACACCCAAAGTCTACCACCAATGGGGCCAGTTTATCAAGCGACAGGTAGTCGGACTTTGACGCTAATTTCCTCGATGACGAAGACAGACAAGTGCCTTGGTACACTCGAAATGACACTCAACATATCAGAGAATTATCTCTATAGATTGTGTCGTATTCCGAGGATAAGAAGGCATACCAAAGAAAAGTCAGAGGGCCCTAGAAAGTGCAACCGTGGTTTGACCAACAAAGACCTCGACAAGGTCGTTCGAACTAAATATTGACAAACTGATCCTCGAGACTTCGAGAAACTGGAAGTACTCCGCGGTCAAAATCTACTTGAAGTCTAAAACCAAGAGCCAGCTTCCTTAACCAACCGGTATGATGACGGACCATACATACAATAAAGAACACCGCGAAAGAGTGGCACCTGAATGCAAAGCCCTACGACATAGTCACTAGTTGAACTGTTGTCCCTGCTACCAGGGGACATAAATAGCCCTTCTACTTTAGCTATAACGGCGATACAAAAAAAGTAAAAACTCCGATAGGCGACCGAGCTCTCCTGAAAACAGGCGATTGTATTTTTCCTCAGTCAGTTTCTTCTACGACTCCCACGAAGTTATATATTCTCTTCGAAACAGAGCAAAAGTTCAAAATAAAAAGGAACATAGAAACAGGACGCATTTGCCGCAGAGGTCGGTCATGGCCTCGCTTTCTTCCCGCCAACTTGGCAATCTCGATCCCTGAATCTGGCGCAATGGGGCATGAATCGACTGTTCACACCGAATGCACACCTCGAGATACTGTACAAAGTCGCAGTTTACAAACACAAAGTCCAAAGACAACTAAAAAGACTGGTTCCTGCACTACTTTCAAAGCTTTATGGATGGCACAAACAACTTTCAATTACAAATGAGGCAAAGGAAGTTTTATTTGTGAATCACACTGGTTTGAGAAGTGACAGGTCATCGCAGGCGATTACAAGACACTCGATGCGAATTTTATCAGGTAGTTTGTTCATGACACTACCTGAGACCCAGACAATTCTCAAACAAACTCAATTGCTCGAATGAAACAGAGAATGCGAGCTATTACAGACTAGTATTTTGTGTGAGCAAACCATCCACGTCTTGGCCATCGTGAAGCTCGATATGCCGGAGGACATGGTATCGATGAATGGATATCGAATACGGTTTAACACTCAGATATGGCTCATGTAGAGGTCATAATCCACCACTGCTTATTGACCAAAAGGAAAGTATTCTTCCTATTTTGCACATGTCCCACAGGAGAGGGTCCGCAGATATCAAATCTTTCTACCTCATGGCATCGTCGGTCTTTACAAAGCTTCTTTCACCTATATTCGAGGAAGGGATTCGAATTAAAATAAGGATTTATCCGAAGATAAGACTGGTAATTGACAACTATGCGATGCCACCCATATTCCGGTTCATCGACCTCAATTACCAGATAAGTATGAGCTTATCGACCCTTTACGCTTCCCAATATACGCGGACAAATACGACCCTACAGAGATTCCAAATGCGGAATGGACAACATCGGGTCACAGAAGAGAAGGAGATATTACAAATCCAGCTCGGCTGTGACAGCCTTTGAAATATTCCTCAAACTATTAAGGTATGTCCTTGGGAGACTGCCGTGCCTCCAGAGCGGAGAGGAGTGAGATATAGAGAGTACTCTCGGCATTTACTTCACTCTTTGACAGACACATATACAGCGGGTGATAATCCTCTGCAGAGCATACTCCACTAAAAAAAGATATTATGGATGCCGAGGATGGGTGCAAATGCTCAACTCGCCCGTACGCAGAACCAGATACATGATCCTACAGCACGAGTTCCTTGTACAGTATAAGACGTCCAACACTTTACTCATACGACCCAGCATGCCCTTTATGATCCTTCATAAGATTTATAGCTTCGAACGTCTACCGCCAAACTCACTGAAACTGACAACTCAAATCACGTTTGACGAATCTGTGGCGAAAGCATCGAGGCGAGAGATTCGATCAAGAAAACGATCGGTTTTATTTTTGCCGCATACTCACAATCAGACAGACCACAAGGGCACGGCCGGAGGTTGGATTCAGGGCCCCATAAAAGGCTTGGAGATATTAGGTGTGTCCTTGCAATAGTGCATAACATCATCAGCCTACCCTATCAATCCTGGACTTCATATTCGATCCCAGGGGGAATGTTTTCTTTTACCCTGACCCTTCCATAGGCATCGAGCAGCGGCGTTTGGCCAGCGATAAATGATGACTAGCCAGCATGTTCTCTTTCACTCCTGTCAATGCTGGCGTTCCAACCACGATGGAGAGTCGTGATATTACGTCGCCATGTTTTACCTGTGTTGATGATACTCGGTGATCTCTTCTCGCTCTCATTGCCTCATGTCGTCTAGCGCCACCGACAGTGGTCATCTAGATAGGGACCTCTCGCCCACCTTCATAGGAATACACACACCTTCCGCTGCATACATTCCACAGGTTATGAGCCCGGACAATTGATTATTTCTCCATCGGTTTAAGCGATCATAACCTCAATTCCATCAACAGCCTGGATGTGAACTAAATTGAGCAATGGCACTGTTGACTGACAGCTCTCAATATCCAGCACCGCGAATGACATTGGATGAATCAAATCATCTCGTCAAACATTGAGGCTTAATGATATCAGATATTCCGAGATCATTAGCCATTCAACATGGAAGAATGGAAGACGCCTGTTTTGAAGGAGTGCTTGTCCCGACGATAGCGAAAGCATAGAGTGCACAATAGCAACCCAGTTCATATATGGCTGATATTTAAAAGCCAGCAAATGCCTGACTACCAGGCTACAATGCTAGCAACGAACACTAGCGCTCAAGGCTTGCACAATCCCAGCCACCATACCATTTAGCACACTTGCTGGACACACTTGGAGCTCTACTTTCCAGTGAGTACGGCTTAAGCAACCAAAGAGTGCCTAGCTATGCCCAAAATTACATATTAGGGCGCTAATCATCATCTCATCCATCAAAGGATCATGATAATTCACCCGTTTAAGTCGTTACCCAAAAGATCTGGAATCGACTGGCATAAGGAGGATTGAGTCGATCCTCCAAATGACCTTGCGCCAGTGACAGAATTGATAACAACCAAATCAAGCAATTCTTGACTCTGTCATTTCATAATACGAATCCGGGGTGCAGACATCAGACAAAAAAGGACCAACAAAACCGCCATGCGTTCTCGAACCTCCGACCAAGAAGATCAACTTGGGCAATGGCCAGTTCGATAGCTGGCTCGCTAATTCACATTTAAATCCGGATTGGATTTCCAACATGTCACACAATGGCACAGCCTATGAAGCAATTACAAGTACTGAAAGAGCTGGAGGAAAGAAGCCTGCGTTTGCAGACAACTTGATTTGGTCAAAAACCTTGAAGTTAGTCCTGTGGTTCTTGCGTCTTCAGCCCCGTGGCCACTGTACAATGCCGAAATAACAACAGCCAACATGAAGACGCCGCCTCCTTTCAATGTGCGTTTGACGGACGCATGGATGCTGGCGCTGATTTTAAACACCAAACTCGCGACTAATAAGCGTGGGCACGTAGGGAAGCATGATTTCGATGCCAACGGCTATCCGAAACAAGGTCAAATCCCGCGTGGAGATCCAGTCATTGCCGATTACCAGGGCAAGTTATTTCTGCCGGTTTTCAAGGGATATTAATTATGTCTTTTGCGCGGAGGAAGTAGCTCTGCAGATAAAGACCAATTTGTGTGTCAATTACGATAATAACTAGCTCGGCGTCTTCAAACCTGGCATGACACGACAGCCTCAATCAGGTGCAAATCTACCACCAACCTCAGAAGTATGCTATTACATGGATTGCTTCAAAGCACCTCCCTGGGAGTCCTAGTCAATTACATAGCTAAAAGGCAGCCATTACCCACCGGACACAAGGAACAGTTTAATCTTCCTAATGAGCCTATGTTCTGAATTGCACCGTGATCGAATTACGAACAGTTCAAAGCTTACGCCACAGCAGACAGCAGATGCAGCCTTCCTACCATGGGAAGAAGTTACCTGCCGTGCCAATTACCGAGAGAATCAATACGTGTGCCAAATTGGCTCACTGAACCATCCGAAGACAAAAGAGTGTCCGGAATTTGAGGCAGACCCCTTTGGGGTACTTTCCCTGTATTGCGTGTCAAGCTGACAACATAACCATACAACACAATGAGATGATTAGCTAGTATATCTTGACAGCAGACTAAGCTAGAGGCCAGTCGTTAAAGCGAGAAAGCCAGGTCAAAGCTGCCGTCCCTGTTCCCTGTCTACGTACGAAATGACTGCTGTACATTACGTTCGGCCTTATCAACGAAGGTTAGGAAGAACGAATACATCCGACAGTTTCATGCGCCAGATAGAAGAGTTGGAAGAGCACTACTCTAAACTGATGCACAAACAGGTGCAAGACAAACAATGAAGTTTGGAATACATTTGAAGATGTGGAGAAAAGAACATTTGCAGCAGAAAAGCGAGGGAGGATGCTTGGGGCTGGGCGAAGAAGGAATGGGGAGCGAGACTTTCTGAACCGTTGATGGATTCGGGGTCATCCAAGCAATTTGGAAGAAAATCCTCGGCCACGGGAATGATGAACCTGGTTTTCGACTGGACTGCGAATCTGGAAGAGGTCAGTCAAACAGGTCACCACTTTCTGTCCGAGCTCTATATAAGAAAGATGGAAAGCGGGATATGTAATTGGCGCACCAGGACAACTTCGATCATGATAAAAGTAAGAAGATACTGTTGTCAGTCAGAATTGAAAGAGATAAGTAAAAAAGAAAAAACATACAACAGCCGGGATTCGCTGGTGGTCACCCACCCAACTACTAATCGGCCGGCGTGAGGCTTGTGTGCAGTCAATAGTCGGGTGGGTGCCTCTGAACCGGCGACCCTGGCGATCACCGGCGCCGTCGCGCGAGCTCCCTGGGTGCGCTTTAGATGGTATCTGCGTCGCCCGGCGACTCCTGGCGACCTGTGCGACCTGACTGATTATTCTACTTTTTATGTCTAAATAAGGAAATAACAAAAAGTTATTAGTTTATTTCCCCGTCTCCTGAAACAGCCGGCATACAGACTAGAGGTATTAGTTTCCTGTCGTTATTTAGGCAATAATATAACTGAAAACAGCAATATCTCAGTAAAGTACACTGCACCGGCGTACGTGAATCTAGGACCTGATACAGTAAACAGTGTCTGGATCCAGCAACAAATGAAACCCAACTAGATACGCCGCCAACCCATCAGCATATTTCAGTGTCAAGACTTACTACTCATTTCACGAGAAACCATTCATTGACTGACATGCATGATGTATCTAGGCCAAATTTTAAAAGTGGGTGGCTCCAAGAGTCATGTCATCATAGACCTGAAGGGCAATGTATATTTAAGAAGTTTCATCAGAGAATACTTCATGTTCAAGTCTGCAACCACAATACTTGCAAGAGTCTTTAGTGAGTGTGGAACACTTACGGCAATCCCTATGGAGCAGATAACAGAAGAGATCTATTTCGGGTTCAAATTGGCTTAGAGTTACCTAATGCTTTTCGCAGCTTCTTCTTCAAAAGAAATGAACCCGACCGCGGCAATGCAAGACGACTTATACCTACCATTACAAAGGAGCTTATCAAGCAAAACAAGGACCTCGCGTCTGGTGTTCTGAAGGCGATTGAGCACAACCCGCAAATCGACACGAAGGACGTCACGGAACAATTCAACAAGCTGCTTCTCGAACCTTTAAAAAATGTCGCTATGTACCCAAGCAGAACACTAGTGATTGTGATCAATGCGTTAGACGAGTATAAGAATAATAAATAAATTAGAACAATCCTTCAGTTTCTTTCGCGGGTGCAAGAGCCCAGTAGCATGAGGTTAAAAATTTTCCTGACGAGCCGGCCGGAGTTACCACTCCGACGTTTCTTCGAAAAGGAGAGTTCTCACCAAGGCTTAATCCTTGAAAAAATTGCCGAGGAAGCCATTAAAGAAGACATCATGCGGTTTCTAGAACATCGATTCGCGGAAATTAGAAGACAAGCGAAAATCGGCAAAGACTGGCCAGGTGACGAGGTACTTGAAGCTCTGGCGACAGCGTGTATGCCGTTATTCATTTCCGCTGCTACGATATGCCGATTTATCGAACAGTCAGGAGAAGACCCAGTAAAACATCTTGCCGATATTCTGAAGGATCAACGCAGATATATGACAAAAATAGACAAGACATATGGCCCTATTTTTGACCGGATACTTCGTGAACGAGACAAAAATAAACAAGAGAAGCAAGTCACGCGGTTCAAGCGAATATTCGGTGTGATTATTCTCCTTTCTGTCCCTCTTCCAATCAACGCGCTTTCCGAATTTGTTGGCATCAGCGCCAGATCCGTCAAGTTCCTGTTGGATTCCTTTCACTCAGTCCTGAGAATACCTGACGAACAAGACCTTCCAGTCCGCATTCTACACCCGTCTTTTCGAGAATATCTCCTTACCACACAATCACGCTTTCATGTAGATGAGGGCTTGACGCACAATGATATGACGTCACATTACCTTCGCGTTATAAATCAGCATCTCAAACGCGATATTTGTGATCTGCAGAGCTTTGGTATACAACACGAGGACATAGATGATAAGATAATCAGACAATTTGTTCCGCCGCATCTTCAGTACTCCTGTCGCTACTGGGTATTCCATCTGGCGCAAAGCAAGTCACCTCTCTCCAAAACAGAGGTTTTATCATTCCTAAAGGCGTATTTTCTTCACTGGTTAGAGGTGATGAGCCTTACAGGGGTGATATCGGAGACTGTTGATATGATGAAGACTCTGCAGTCAAGAACTTATGTTAGGTCCACCCAATGGGCGTTTCAACCATTACTAATTATGGGATAGAGCGAAGACAATTCCGAGTACTCAGAATTCTTAATTGACGCGCACCGGTTTATCCTTCAGAATATTCAGATGGCTAATGGTGCCCCGCTCCAACTTTACGCCTCAGGTTTGGTATTCACACCAACATCAAGTTTGGTTCAACAAATATTTGGGAAACAATATTCACCATGGATATGTGCGCTGCCACGGATGCATAAGTCATGGGTTGCGAACAGACAGACTCTAGAGGGCCATTCATATTCAGTTCAGGCCGTAGCCTTCTCATCAGATAGTCGAACTATCATCTCAGGCTCTACTGATAAGACTATTAAGCTCTAAAATGCTAAAATAAGTGAGTAATAATAGATTTTAAAAGGCTATTTAAACTCAGTTTTTGCTATAACTTTCTTGCTAGATAGATAAACTATTGTCCTAAGTTTTACTAATAAAACTATTAAATTTTAAAATATTAAAATAGGCGAGCAGTAATAGACTTTAAAAGGCTATTTAAACTCAGTTTTTGCTATAGCTTTTTTACCAGATAAATAAATTATTATCTTAAACTTTATTAATAAGATTATTAAGCTCTAGAATATTAAGACAGGTAAATAATAATAGATTTTAGAAGGCTATTTAAATTTAATTTAGATTATAGTTTTTTTTTAAATAATTAAATTATTATCTTAATGTCAAGGTGCGGGCTGGCAGGTTGATAGAGTTGGTGTAGCAGGGGCAGGTAAGGCAGGCAGTCTGGCTGGATTAGGCGGGCTAGGTTTATAAGGTCTTTGATTATTACTATAGTTAGGCTATATACAGGATAATAAATAAAATATAGCTTAAAAAGCTATAATAAGATCTTTAATATTTAAATTTTTAAATAATTAGGGGATTAAGATTAAAAATAAATTTTTTTAATTTAATAATTTTATTTAATCTTAACAGGCTTAGTAATACTTTTAGGTCTATATTATAATAATATATTTTTTTATAGCTAAGTTTTATTAAGGTTAAAGAGGGCTAGGCTTATTAGAATATTAATAATAATAATTTTAAATAATTTATTTAATATATTTTAAATAACTGGTAAACTTAGTAGTAAGGTTTATATATTTAATCTATTTTATAATATATATTAAATAAAGATAGCTATAGCCGCGGTAGTTTTAAAATAAATTAAAAATATTTTTAATCTTTTATTTTTTAAGTTTATTAATCTTAATATAAAATAAAAAAAGATTTTATTAACTAGATAAGATATTAAAGCTAATAAAAATAAATAAATTTATATTAAATATAAAATAAATTTTTATACTAAACAGAAGTTTTAAGTAATAAATATATAAATTAATAATTTTTTTAATATAATACAGGCCTAAAATATTCTAATTTAGTTTTTTACTAGGCTATAAGATTTTAATATATTAAATATTTAATTAAATTAATTAATTTTTTTTAAATAAACAGGTAAAGTAATACTAATAATTTATTTATTTAATATAATAGGCTTAAGTAGATAATATTTTAGCTTAAATAAATTTAATAATAATTTATATTTTTATAATAAATTATTTTATATCTTATATAATAAAATAATTATAAGTATAATAATTTTTTATTAGAATAAGTTTAAATCTTATATATAAATAAAAACTATAATTAGTAAAAAATAGGCTAGTCTTAATTAAATTAAAATATATAATATTTAAAAAAATTTAATTAAAGGAAGCCAGGTATTTTAATTATTTTATAAATAATTTATATAAGCTTAAAAATATTACTTTAATATAATATTTATTTATTTAGTTTAGTTATTAGTCTCGGGATAATATATAGTTAATAATTTATTTATAATATTTAAATACTAGGTTAAATACTTTTAGAATTTAGTAATAAACTAGGGTTCTTAATCTAATATAATAGTTTAGAGCAGGCTATATAGCTTTTATATATATTATATATATATTATAATTATAGTAGGTATATTAATAGTTAAGTTATAAAAAATTAAGTATTTTATTTTAGTTAAATAGTTTATAATAACTAGAATAATATTATAACTTTAGCTTTTAGGTAGATATATAATAAAATCTATAAAAACATTTTATTAAATATATTTAGATATAAACAGGGATTTCAGGATATTTTACTTAGTTTTATAAAATAAAATATTTTAATAATAAATATAATAATTTTAGATTTATTAAGCTATATATTAATATATATTAAATTAAAAATATTTATAAATAAAAAATTTATATATATAGTTTCTCCTGGGGTGTCTAGATATAGGCTTATTATATATTAAATAAATTAATTTAGCTTAAAGTTTATTATTTTTAAGAATTTATAAGTAATTTTTATAAAATAAGAGACTATCTTATTTTTTATAAATAATTAAAATAATTTTTAAATAATAATTTTTTTTTTATAATAAGGATTTTTTAGATTTTATAAATTAGATTATTTTTTTTATATATTTTTTTTAAGCTTGTCCGGATTTTAGATAATAATTATAAATTTTATTTATTTTTAAAAATAATATTTTAATAGATTTAGGTTATAAGAGCAAGCAGGGTCAGGGATTGAAGGATTTTTATTAGATTAGATTTAGATTTATTAATATTAAAATTTTTATACTTTAATATTATTTAGTTTTAGTATTATAAATATTTATTTTTTTAAGAAGATTCTTTAATTTTTTAATTAAATTATTTAATTTAGTTTTATATTTTTTAAAACAGTATATAATCTTAAACTTAAATTAAAATAAAAATTTAAATTAATAAGTTTATTATTAGTTTAAAAGCTTAGTTAATATAAAATATTTTAGATTATAATAATTAAAAATAATTAATATTAAAAATAAAATTTTTTTAAGCTTAAGATATTATTTCTTAAAATATTAAATAATAATAAATAATTTTTTATTATAAATTTTATAATTATATTTTATAAATAAGTATTTTTTTAAAAAGAAAATAATAGGATATAAAATTTTATTATTATTATATTAAAATAAAACTTTAATAAAAATATAATTAAAAATATTAATCTCTAAAATTATAGTATATATTTAGTTAAAAGACTATAAGACTAGAGTATTAGTAAAAACTTTTTTAAAATAATTAAAGACTTTTTAGTAGAATAAAATCTATTTTTAGAATATTTTTTTATAGATTAGGCTAATAAATAAAATAATTAATTTTAAAAATCTTAAATAAAATAATAATAAAAATTACTGAATCTTAGGAATACTTAAATATCTGTAATATAAGTTAAAATAAACTAGTTAATAACTATTTTAATTTTAAAAGAATTTATTTAGATTTTTTTATAATTAATAATTAGGCCTAGGAATTTAGTTTTAAAAATAATAAATTTATATTTTAAAAATTTTATAAATAAGTAGGCTCCTTGTAGCTTCTGTAGGACCTAGTAGATATAACAGATATATTTAAAGTAGATTTAGTTATAAATTAGGATATTATTTAAGTAGTGCAAAAAACATCTAGGTAATTATATAAAATATTATTAATATAATACTAGAATATCCTAGGGGCTCTAGTTAAGCTAAATAATATTATTAAAAATTTAAAAAACCTAGGCAGGTATAAAATATAATTATTTATTTTTAATCTTTTTAAATATATAAATTATTAAAAGTATTTATAATATTAATTTTTATAAAATAATATATTTTCTTTAGGTTATTCAGAGTCTTTTTTATTAAAAATAATAAGTAATAATCTTTAATTATAATCATGTTTAGGGCTTAATAGTTAACATAAAAATATAAGCCTTTATTAGGTTTATTAATAAATAAAACAGGGGATATTATAAAGAATAAATTTAAATAAATAAAATTTTTTTACAAATTTTTAAATAATTATTCCCGGAGGGCTTTTAGCTTTTTTTAAGATATATTATATAGGGGGCTAAATAACAGTTTTTTACTAGGTTTTAGAATAATTATATAATTATAATTTTTATATAAAAATAATTTATTTACTTTTTTTAATAAAAATATTTTATTAAAATCCCGGAATTTTATAAAGATATTAGGGCTTTAATTAAGATTAGATATTTTTTATATTAAGGGTTTTTTAGGGGATCTTTTATAGATTATTTAGTTAATTTATTTTATAATAATAGCAAAAATTTTTCTTTTTTATTTTATATATATAATATAAACTCTTATAAATATTGTATAAATATTATAGGTTTAAAGGGTCTTTAGGGTTTTTAAGTTAATTAAGCAGGTTTAAATAAAAATATTATATAAAGCCCGGATCTTCTAGGAATAAGATAAGATATTATAATATTTTTAATAATATTAATTATTAAATTAAAAAGTATATTTAGTAAAATTTATTTTTAAGATTATAAGTTTTAAGCTAGGGAAGTCTGATTATAACAGAAAAATATATAAGTTAAATAATTAAAAATAAAATATTTTTTTAATATAATTATAAGTTTTTAAGGTTATATAGGGATAATAAATAATAATATTAGTTTTACTTTTACAGGTATTAAACCTTATAATTAATTTAAACTTTTTTAAAAAATATAAGATTAGATTTTAGGCTTTAGTTTAACTTTTATTTATAATATAAGATATAAAATAGCTAATATTAAATATAATATAAATAGTAATTTTATTTTTACCGGGGTTTAGTATAATAAAGATAATTAATAAATTAGTTTTTTAGAGTTTTTTTTTAATAAAAAGTCTTTTAATAATAGCTTTAGAGATTTAATAAATATATATAAAAAGATTTATCTAGTTATAGCTTAAATTAGATTAATTTTTTTTAATTATTTACTTAGGTCTAAAAAATATAAATATTCTGTTTAAAAAATTATTTAAAACTAAAGAACCTAAAGTAATAGTAATATAGACAGGCCTTGTAGGATAAAATAAAATTAAAATATAAAAAAAGATTATTTTTAAAAAAGTAAACAGGACTTTAAAAGAAAAATAAAATATATAATATAATTAATCTAATATAGATAATTATCTAGTTTAGGATAATCTTTAATTATATACTAACTAGATCTATAGCAGAAGTATTTATTATAATTTTTATAAATATTATTTTTAAAATAAAAAAATAAATAATAAATTAAAAAAAGATCTATAATCTTAGGACTCAGAATAATAATAATAAACTAAAAAAATTTATTAATTAAGCTTTAAGAATAATAACTTTAAATATTTTTAATTAAAATCTATAAATAAGTATTAGTTCTAGTTAAAATTAAGGCAGGCTTCTAGGATTAATTATAAAAATATTAAATATAATAATTTTTTAATTTTTATAAAAAAATAATAAAATTAATATAATTTTTAGTAAGCAGGTTTTAGTATATTAATATAATTTCTAGTTTTTAGTTAATAATTTTTTTAAAAAGGATAAAAAAACTATTTTTAGTTATTTTTTTATAACTAGTTATTAAAATTTAGTAAAAAAAATAAAAAATTTTTAATTTTTTCATTTTAGATTATATAAGATATTCAGGGTATTATAAATATAATTTAAGTTTTTATAAATATAATTAAGTATTTTTAAAATTTTAACATAATTCTTTAGCTAGTAAACTCTATTTTTAATATATAAAAAATTTAAATATAAAAAAGTTTTTTTAAATAATTAAAAATATAAGTTATACAGGCCTAAAAGATTAGAAAATAATTATAATTTATAATTATTTTTTTTATTTAAAAAATAAAATAATAGAAGTTTAATCTAGTATTTTTAAATTTATTAAGGTTAGATAGTTATTTAGAAAGACAGGCAGAGATAAAAGATCTAAAATTAATTAATATAAATACTTTTACTAGAGTAATTAAGGGTTTTTTTAATTATAGATTTAAAAGTCTAGTCCGGGATATTAATTATAGATATAATAATCTAGATTATATAGTTTTATTTTTAAATTATTATATTTTTATTAATTAGAACTTAAATAAGTTTAAGATTTAAGTTTTTTTTTATAATCTGTTTTAAAAATAATAATTTATATAATAATATTTATATTTTATTAGAAACAGGAGACTTTTTAATAAAAATAGTTTTAATTAATATTAATATTTATTATAAATATATAAATCTGATTATAATAAATATATTATTTTTTAATATATTTAATAATATATTAGATAAATAGTTCAGGGTTCTTAAGAAAAAATAAGGATTTTAAAATTTTAAATATATTAAATAAATATTAACTTTATAAATAAAAACTATATAATATTAAAATACAGGCTAGTAGATTAATAAAATTAATATAATAAAGATAAACATGATAAGTAATCTAGTTAGATTAAATAAACTAAATTTATAAGATCTTTAATTATTATTATAATTAAGTTATATATAAGATAATAAATAAGATATAGCTTAAAAAATTATAATAAAATCTTTAATATTTAGATTTTTAAGTAATTAGGGGATTAGGATTAGAGACAGGTTTTTCTGGCTTGGTGGTTCTGTCTGGTTCTGGCGGGC